AGCGGTGAAGGAATGGGGGTTGGGGGTTTCAGTAAGTCAAAGCGGCCTGGTTGAGGACTGGCGGTGGGCCATACACCGGGAATGACGCCGTAATATGGGCTGAACGGGTGAACTAAACAAAGAGAAGGGAGAAATACAGAGAGGACGGGGTGGGGTGGTGAGATGTTTCACGGGGTGTGAGCCCTTCATGTATTCGTGTAGGTACAAAAGGTTCGCGTTAGGGAGTTGGAGTGCATTGGGGGTTAAAAGTGATTCTGTAAGTTGTTTCACATTGGGAAGTTCATTAAGGTGAGGGGGAAAAAAAAGAAAAAAAACAGCTACACATGTATAAGGGTTCTCGTAGCTGCTTTTTATTACCTATTACTTGAAAATAAGCACAATTATTGGGTTTAAGGATAATATCGATCGTTGGGTTACTGCATAAAGTAAACCTATTTCAATAAAAAAGATGAATACCGCCACCATCAAGAAATCTGTTACAATACGTACGGCATTCATGCCTGCTCTTTCCACACTATTTTTCAGATGCTTCTTCCATATTTGTTTTCGTTCCAAATGTACAGTCGGTGAAAACAGTTTGTGAATATCGGTATTACTACGCAATATAGGGTTTTGTGCAATCGAAACTGAGGAACTTGTGTAATTGCAGTGGTAATGTGCACCCAAATGCTGGAAGAACTGCATCTCGTCTTGTTTCGTTCGCTCTAACTCCGTTGAGGAGTTTAATAAAACGCACTGCGAAAATTCTTTCTGAGGGGGTTCCTCTTTCAAAACTCTAAAAATATCATTATCCAAAGGAGGCGCTTCATCTTCGCAAAGCTGTTGTTTTGGAAGCACAAAAGAAGATTGTTTTAACATAGAATTAACTAGAAAACCAACCTGCATCTGATATGGAGGTGAGTTCAAAAGGAGCTTATGCTCCTCTAGTTCAAAATCCTCGTACAGGAGGTTATCCTCCTGTTCTTCCGGCGAGGGATCACACTTTCTAGAAGTGTTTAATTCATCGTGGACGGTATCATTTTCATCTTGTTTGCCTTTATTAACTAGTTTTTCATTTAGTAGGGTTCGCTCAAACATCCCAACCGCCACTCCGCAAAACGGCAGATCTGGTTCACCTTGCTTTTCGTTAGAGGTTGTCCTTATTTGAGTATTATTGGGGTTATTCCCTGCTGAAAACCACTCCCAATTCTTTTCCAATATGGCGTGAATTAGCTCTTTTACGAGCTCAACGCAGATCGTACTTTGAATGCCCTCGGATAAATGCAGGCGTCGAATCATGTCGTTCTTGAGATCAAAAAAAGAAAAGTTTTCGTCGTGGTGGTCGGCAAAAAAAACGTGATGAGCGACGTAAAGTTGAAGAAGCTTCGTGAAAAATTCCCGGATCTTCATTGTGGAGGCGGAAAGGCAATGACTATCGGTTAGCATTGCCACTTGCCCGGCAGAATACGAAGAAGGAAAGGATAAAATACCAACAAACCCTTGCGATGAGGAAGAGGTGGAAGAAGAAGCATTCGTTGCTGTAGGAGATTCTCCTACCTTTATCTGCTCCAGCGATGGCTTCCAAGGATCATAGCCACCACAGAGTAACAAATTGTACACGGCAGGTTGTGGAAGTTTCGTTATTTTCCCATCCACCTTGCCGTAGGTAATAGGGTGCTCGACCAAATGAAGGCGTACACCCGTGAAAAATTCACCTATAGAACGCCACTTCAAAGAAGCATCTTCTTCTCCTTTAAAGTTCATTTTAACCCCACCATTGCGAGAAGGTTGATGGAAAGTAAAAGGTATCATCCACAATCCATGGCGAGCTCCTACCTCAGTTAGTTGAGGAATTATTACCGTAGGGATGGATTCGAGCTTTTCTTGATTATCGTACAAATTGGATGAGTTTTTATTCTCCACGCTTTTTGTATCATGATTGATCAGCTCACTCAACCAGTGATTAATTGAAAAAACATGGGAGCTCCTGAACGAGGAATAACGTCTTGGACGCTCGTTAGGATGAGATGATAACGATGAGTAGGGTGACCCAAAGATATGAAAAGAATCTTTATCCATTCGATGAACACCACAAAGTTTACCCGCATTCACTATAAAGCATAGGTTCGACAAGGTGTTGGGCGCGCTACTCACCCCTTTACAAATAGAAGCACAGTCTGAGCTTCCTACATGGATCGAAGAAGTAGCTTCTTGATCATTTTGGGGATGCATTTTGTTCTTTTCACCAGTGCTTTGAATAGGATGAACCCTAATAGAAGCAGAAGGATTCATCCAATCGGTAATAAAGATCACGTTTAATCCCTTACGAAGGGCATTCGGTCGAATCGCAGTATTAAGGAGATGCCGTACAGAAGGAAGCAGCGGCAACGATTGATGAACAACCAACAACGTTCCCACCGAAGCGAGGTAATCATTCCTCCAATCCATTCCACTTTTATTCTTAAACCCAGGACCGTCCGAAAGAAAAGATGGCTCTGGAATAAAAATGGAGAAGAAATCAACATAAAAACCTAGTTCGCGCGTTAAAAAGAGGTACAACAAGGCAAGATTGGCGTGTGGATGATTGACAGATGGCTTCGAATTCTCGTGATAAGGAGGTGAAGCCATAGTAACCCCCTCCTTCGTCTTGTCAGGACCTACAACAGTAGAATTCCTTTTTTTCTTTGGAAAAGCTGAAGAAAACGAGGAATAATTGAATGAGGAACTTAACCATGAATGAGAAGTATCGATAACCAGTCGCTGGAGACGTGGGGGAGGTCTGATTTTGATGGAAACAACGAAGGGAATGGTAATATTGTGGCTTATGGAGGAGGCTTGAGCTTTCTTGGAGTGTTCATTACCACAGGAATAATCGAGAAAAATTCGGCCATAAATATCAACATGCTCGTACGGATTTGAAAGAAGAGAAAGACGTTGCTTCTTCTGGGTGCGGAAAATATTATTATCATCCTTAAGTGTAGTATTAGCTTTAGCTTTCTCATCCTTGTGAGAGAGGAATGCTTGAATCATAACCGATATTGTTCCCGTGAAAGCATGCAACTCTCTCGTAGCGTGCAGCTGAATATCTAGTTCAGGAATTCCTAACGAAGAGTATGCTAAAGCCGAATGATCGAGCAAAATTGATTCATAGCAATCCGGTTTATTTTTTTCGTCTACATGATTACTATTAGCGTGGGCTTGTTTGGGATGGAAAAGCTCGTTAAATGTTCCATTTACAGCTTTGTAGCCAAACACTTGATCTATCTCGTAGCGCCATCCGCGACGCACTAAATCCTCAGATTTGGAATTTAATCTAGAATGAAAGGTGTCGTTATCCACCGCTGCTTTCGAATCTTTTCTTTCATTTTTATCTTCATTAGTATTACCGTGGCGCTGCATTAAAGTGGCGTTCGAACAAGTGGCAATATGCAGGGTTAAATTGAAAACTTTCGGTGCCGCTCCTAGATAAAGCGGCTGTTCACAGTACGGCCAGTCATAAAGACAGTTTGCATTTACTTTAGAGCCTCCACATTGATTAAAATTATGAATTTGTGCGTTTATCTGAGGCGGGAAAACAACCCATCCACTAAGAGCAGGACGTTCACTGGAAAACTTTTCAAAGCTATGGTAGTTATGATGACCTTGTGTAAATCTACCACCTTTTTCATCATTTTGCAATGTTTTGTTGTTTATTTTGTGAGACGATCGCTTTGTTTGATATTGAATGAAGTCGAGTGCGCGCGCAGGTTGGATCTCTCCCGCACCTTGCGCGATCATGCTATGCTGCAATAAATAAAGATAATGCGAATATGTTCGCATAAGAGCATCCCCAGCGTAAACAGAAGAAGTAGATGCATTTGAAGAAAAATTTTGCCGTTCGGCGAAGAACCACTCAGTGTCTTTTTTATCTTCTTGATCCTTCTTTATTACCGGTGGGGTAAGACGTCTGGCGGTTCGAATGAAAATCTCCTTGATGAACGCGATATTGGGCTTTTCTGGTAACTTTTGATGTGAGTACGACCTGAAGAGATTATCTTGTTTTTGGCTTTCCTTTTCTAGATGAAATGCTTCCATGCATAAGGCTACTACACCCGCGACAAAAGAGGCTGATACGCTTGTACCCGAGCGGTTGTTTACTAGGGTCCACGAACGCACCGATGGCTTTCCCAGAACATCAGAAGAAATGTTCTCGTCCATGCCGTCAAAAGCAGATAGTATAGACCCCTTTTTGGTATTTTGGGAAGGTTTTGAAGTGGGATAAGAATCCTGCGAGAATTTTCGCGATCTTTGAGAAATTTTCACCGCCTCCAACGCGCAAACGCGCTCCCCCACTGCCACTACCTCCGGCTTCACCCTCCCTGCTCCAAAAGGCAGCTCGGCCGTCGTCGGGCCTCGACTGGAGAAGGCTGAAACCATCCCTTCTTCGTGCCTTTGTGAAGGATCGCTATTTTGCTGAGTACGAAGGGGTGGATCTCCTTCATGGTTGAGGGTTTTTTCCCATTTTTGCATAAATGAAGGCTTCCGCGCGATCGAGCCCACCGTGAGAACCTCTGGCAAGTCCGCTGGGCTAAGCACACCAGCGAAGCCTCCTCCTTCATTCCCTGCCGCCCCCACGACGACCACGCCGGCGTCCGTGAGGCCGCGAATCTCGTGTGCGATGGCCTCGTTCGCCGCCCAATATTCCTGCCCAAAGCACAAACCGAGGACGCGATACGTATCGGGCGACTTTTCGACCTCGGCGCGAAGGTGGCGCAGGGCGGCGAGGATGGCTGCGGAGCAGGCCTGACCGTCCTGGTCAAAGACCCGCAGCATGCGCAACTTCGCGTTGGGTGCGATGCCGAAATACCCCCC